AGAGACATTTATCCAAAGAAGATATGCAGATGGACAAAAGGCACATACATTTTTTTATCATCAAATCAAATATTTTTTTCAAATCAGTGATAATTGCCTATGGCAAAAAGGCCCAAAACAGGACCAACAAGATAGCTCTAAGGGCTGGAGGTCATACTTCATGGAAGGCATAGGTTCGACTTCTGGCACCACAAGCTTCCTAAAGAACCTCTGGGAGCAACCTCCAGAGGTCAGAGTCACAAACAGACTTTGAGCACTACTGGGTGTGTTGCCAAAACAAAACAAAACAGGCCCAAATCAACAAGTACTGGTGGGGATGTAGAGAAGAATAAACCCTTGTTCATTGTTGTTGGGCACATTAACTGATTCTGCTTCTATGGAAAACAGTGTGGGTATTTCTCAAAATGTTAAAATAGAGCTATAATATTCAGCAATACTATTCCCAGATGTCTATTCAGAGATTACAAAAACACCTGTTTAAAGTCATACTATAAAGAGGGAATGCTCTGCCACAGAGGCAGGGTGGGATGGGGGGATGGGGAGGATGGGGGGTGGGAGGGATACTGGGATCCGTGATGGTGGGAAATGGGCACTGTTGGAGGGATGGGTATTCGATCATTGTATAACTGAAACCCAAGCACAAAAATTTGTAAATCTACAACTGTACCTCATGGTGTTTCAGTATTAAAAATCTAAATAAAAAAATATTAAATGTAAATAATATTGAGAACTATTGTATAAAAATAAAGGTAAAGGTAAAGGTAAAGGCCCTCCCGTTGATCGTCAATTTGCTCGAGCAGACCCAGTAACGTCTCCATTGGAGACTTTGTTGTTACTGTGTCTGGCATATCGAATACTCTCGGTAGCTTGCCGGGCTCTCCGAGAGGGGTGGAGGAATCGAACTCGGGTCGGCCATGTTGGCCGCTTGTAAGGCGAACGCCCTACCCGCTGTGCTATCGCTATAAAAATAAAATTAAATTAAAATTAAGAAAAAAAGATTAAAGACAGAAAACAAAACAAAAAACCCAAATATAAAAAATGAAAAATAAAGTCATACTATATACATCTATATTCATTAGAACACTGTCCCAATCACCAAGACCTGGAACAAATCCATGTCTAACAACAGAGGAATAAAGTAGATATTGAATATATATATATATATATATGCACAATGGAACTAAAGGGTGGCATGCTAAGCAAAGTAAGAAGGAGAAAGACAATTACCAAATGATGTCACTCGTAGGTAGTATATAAAGAAATAAAGCAAAGGAACAGGCGAGGTTAATAAAAGCAAGTCTTTAAACTGCTCATAGAATTGAAGCTATCAATGGAAGGTGGATAGAATGAGCTGAATGGGACCCACAAACAGTGGCAGAGGAGGGATATTAGCATTTTATTTGAACTCTTTGATTTTTGTGGAGTCTTCCAAGTGGAGCTCTGGAGATCAGGAGCCACTCTGGGAACATGTGTTGATCCAGTTCGAGGACCAGAGGTTGAAGAGTTGCTTGGGCCCTGCAGTATTGGGGAGTAATCCAGGCACGTTAGTTGTTTTTGAGTGTATCCAGTTCCATCTGACAGTGCTCTGGAGGCCATGTGGTCAGAGAATGAACCCAGGCATGCACCATAATGTCAGAGGAGATTCATATTGAGAAGACAAGACTCCCAGCTGTCAGAGAGCTGATTTTAGGCAATTGAAGTTTTTCTCCCCACTTCTCCTATGTATGCACTATAGGGCCCACTCATCCTCCCCCCACCGGATGTGGTTTCAAGAACTTATTCTGGTTGAGCAATGTGTTATTGGAACCATCTAAAATAAATGTTTAACTGAATCCAATTAAAATCTCCCAGAAAACTGGTGGCTAGAAAATTCAGTTTCCTTGTTTTACCAAAGATAAGCCATATATGTAAATACCCATATTTATTAAAATTATAATCTACTAATCTACAGTGATCTTCATTTTTCCTTGATCTCTTCTTCACTTCAATGGGAAGTAGGTGGAGAAGTGGGCAGTTTCAAATTTAACCAGAAGTATGCCCATGGTCATGAACCAATTAGATCATCTCTTCCCAAAATAGTGAAAGGAAACCATTGCATCAAGAAATATCAGGATTTTTGGTTGGAAGAAAGCAAAGACATGGGCAGGGTAGAAAGATCGCCTAACTGGTTATCCTGAGGTCCAATTTAGAAAAAGCAAAATAAACACATCATTGTTTACTTTAAACATTTTTCAAAAGAATGAAGCTGTCCCTTCTTATCCACCAACAGTAACCAAACAAACAAATTGCTGTTAGAAACACTATAACTTCATCATATTCGATGTGCTTAAACATCAGTTTTTGGTGTTTAAATGGACCTATCCTTACTCCACTAGAAGCCTATTTAGAAAGGTCTTTTTGACACTATTCTAGTAGTGGTTGATAGCCTCCTCCTTTCTGTAAATATTTACAGATAAAATGATATATGTGCTTAAAATATGATGCCACAGAGAAAAAGGGCCTATAAATCAAACACAGCTAGCCATAGCTGGTAATGCTGACCCCATGGAGATATGTTATACTAACTTCTTAGATTTGTGTATGACTGAAAACTTCCCAAAATAAAGAAGTAAAATTTACCAAGAAAAATTCATCCTATGATATCCAAAAGAGAGGTCATGAAACCCTTAGCAGGACAGGAATCTTTAAAAAAAAAAAAACTCTAACATTTTGTTGTTGTTGAATCACTGTGAGATACAGTTACAAAGCTTTCATGTTTGAATTTCAGTCATACAATGGTAGGACATATATCCCTCCATCAGTGCACATTTTCCACCACCAATGTCCCCAGTTTCCTCCCCTTCCTCCTGCCTCTATGGCACACAATTCCTCCCATACTCTCTCTCTACTTTGGGGCACTATGATTTGCAGTACAGCTACTGAGAGGCAATCACATTTGGTCCTTTATCTACTTTCAGTACACATCTCCTATTCTGAACGATCTCTCCAACCATTATAGACTTAGTGATCCTTTTTCTATTCCAGCTGCCTTCTCCCCCAGCTCACGAGACAGGCTTCCAACCATGGAGCAATATTCCTGGCCCTTATCTCTACTGTCCTGAGGTGTAAGTCTCATGCTATTTTATATTTCACAAATGAGTGCAGTCATTCTATGTCCCTTTCTTTCTGACTCATTTCACTTAGCATGATACTCTCTGTGACCATTCACTTATAAGAAAATTTCATTATTTCATCTTTCCTAACAGCTTCATAGTATTTCATAGTGTAGATGTAACAAAGTTTCTTTAATCAGTCGACTCTTCTCAGGTACTGGGGTTGTTTCCAGATTTTGGCTATGGTGAACAGTGCTGCAATGAACATACAGTTGCAGATGCCATTTCTACTGTGCTTTTTTTGCACCCTGGGATATATTCCCAGAAGTGGTATTGCTGGGTTATATGGAAGCTCAATTTTTAATTTTTTAAGGATTGCCCATATTGTTTTCCAAAAAGACTGGACCAGTTGGCATTCCCGACAACAATGAAATAGAGTCCCCCCTCCCACCCCCGCATCCTTGCCAGCACTGGTTGGTCTTGCTCTTTTTGATGTGTGCCTGTATCTGTGGTGTGAGATATCTTATTCTTGTTTTGCTTCTCCCTGGTTGTTAGCAATGTAGAGCAATGTTTCATGTACCTTTTAACCATTTGTATTTCTTTTTTTTTTTGAGGAAGCTTCTGTTCATTTCTTCTCCCCATTTTTTGATGGGGTTGGAGGTTTTTTTCTTGTACAATTCTGCTAGTGTCTTGTATATAGCAGGACAGTAATCTGAAATACTTGCCCCTGATGGAAGAAAACACATTTATGGGTTCCAAGGCTTCCCTTGATGTACCAAAGATGAACAGTTTATGACTGGAGTTATACGCGAAGTGAAAGGCAGGAAACTTTATATAAGGTCCCCTAGTTTCAGGATGGCACAAAGAACCCTTCTCTAAATGGAAAGCAGGAGGATGAACAGCTGGAAGAGTGAAAGAGAGACCTGAAACCGGTTGGTTTCCCTGTGGTTCCCATGTGGCCCATTCCCTGGTGGTCAGGAGGCTAAAGAAAAGGGATCAGTTCAGTTTGTCACATTCTTGCCTCTAATCCTCACACTGGTCTTTGGGAAATGATAGGGACTGGGGAGGAAGGGTTCTTTCTTGCTTTCCAGACAGGGCAGGAAAGAATAGCCACTCCAGAATGTGTATGAACACTGTCCTCAAAGGAACACTGATCTTAGAGTCTTTTGAGTCTTGTCACCTTGAAATGAGGGGTTTGTCTGCATGACTAAAAGAATCTTCCATGCGTGTCTCAACCATTCCAGGCAGGGGTCCAGAAACCCTGGTCCTGAACAGACAGGCTTTTGTGGAGGCGGCCACCGAGAGGCCGAGACCACCAGTTGACCCCACTAGTGGACAGGCGCAATCCAAGGTTCCTTATCGTGAAGAAAATACTGTGTTCTTGAGACCATATCGTGGTATTCAGACTGACACCAAAAAACCTCAACATAAACGTTTAAGATTCTGGCCAGGGGGTGCAGAGACCTGGACTCTTTCTGATAAGCGTCCTATGGCAAGCTCCCCTGTTAGCCGAAACCTTTACCTTTCTGTATGCTGTGAGCTGCCGTTCTCCCTCCCACCTCCCCTGTGTGTATAGGCCAGTTTGGAACCTCACCGCTTTTCCACCATTACACATCCCCTCTCTGGCTGCTGCCACTTTTTGCTCTTTCTCGGCGAGGAGGTGGCCAGTCGTGGGTGACCAACCCCCCACCCCAAAGTTGGCAGCCTTTTGCCAGGCTCTGGGTATCAGGAGCATCACCGAGCTGGATGATTTCTCCTCTCTGCCCTTGCTTTCCGCAAATCTTGACCCCCCCGTCCCCCCACTGCGGAGAAAAAAAAAATCTCCCAGAGACGGCGGCGGCCAGCGTCGCCCCTGCATGCCGGGGAAGGCGGGGAGCGGAGCGCACGCGGGGTTGAACGCGCCGCGGCCCGGAGCCCCGCGCAGAGCCGGGAGGGAGGGGCCGGAGGCGGGGCGGCCCCGGAGGCGGCGCGCGGCCCCCGCCGGGTTCAGTCTCCTGCCGAGCCCAGCCCCGGCCGGCGCGAGCGACGGCGATCGCTGAGCCACAGCCCGGGCCCGCGGACCCGAGCGGCCGGCCGCCATTCGGCCCCGGCCTGGGCACGTCCACCCGGAGGCACCCGGTAAGAGCCCGCCACGGAGCCCCCGTCCGCCCCCTGCGCCCCCGGCCGGCCGCCGGGCTGGGTGGCCGCGGAGACCCGGCGGCGCGCATCCTGCTGCAGCGCCGCGCGGGCTCACAGGTGGCCCCGCCGGGGACCCGGGCGCCCCCAGGCCCCGCGAGGAGTTGGCCAACTCTTCTCCGCTGCGGATGCAGTCACTTGAACCCCGGGCTCTGGCCCCGGGTGGAGGTCGCGGGGCGGGCCTGCGGTGGCGGGGAGATGCTCCCGGGGCTTCTCGCTCTCCTCTTCCCCACCCACCTCCAAGTGATGCGGGAGATGCGGGCCAAGCATCTACCCAGGCTGCATCCCGCTCTCCGACTCGTGCACGGGGCGCCTTGTCGTTTTAGTTTTTATTTTCCTCTTAACCCACCAGGGAAAGTTTGGGATCATACTAGGCAAAGTTGGGGCGCGGCTGGGGGTGCACTTTGCGGGCGGAGGCAGCTCCGGTGAAGCGAAGTCTCGGGCTGGCTGGTCGGTCCCGGCTGGGGCTGATATCGTGCCACAGGAGTTGAGTCCTGCTCTGCTGTGCCCAGTAGTCACGGCCAGGCATTGTGACAATCCCTGGGGGCGCTGAGTCCCTTAATCTTTCTCATGCTAAGCGTCGACATCTGCAGCCAGCCGTGGAATCTCTGGTGGGCCGGGTTATCTCAGGAGGAGCAGCAACTCAAACCAGGTTTGACTTGGTGTCTTGCTTTGCAAACCTGAGCTCCAGCTCATCGCAGTGCATAACTGGCGTGTTTGATTGGCTTATTTCATACCTGAGATGATCTCAGCGTATGCCTCTAAAATGAAAACGTTGGTAGAGGGAGGGAGGGGAAAAGAACAGAAATCAAAACAATCTTCTTAGAGAAATGAACAGAACATCAGCTGTCCTGTCGGGATATTTAGCCCATCTCTGCTGTGGGATAGAGAATGAAAACTGCGTGGATATCTAACCTACTAGGAAAGTCATGTTAGCTATTTCGGGCAGATTTTGTGACCAGGAGTGTAGCAGCATGTTGCTTATGAAATACACATTTGGTCTCGAAATAACCTACTTGATAGAAGTTATTGGATTTTTCCTAGCTGCCTAAAGATTGTTTTTGAAAATAATCTTTAGTTGGAAACAGTGTCTAAATGTTTAGAGAAGACCGTTTATTCATGTTACCAGATCATTCTTTTGTAAACTTCAATTTTTAATTGCTTTTCTGCATCTGATAAAGGAGAGGTTTTTGTTTTTGCTTTTTTAATGAAATCTAAGATTTAAGATTGTTGTGTGTGCAGAGAAGAAAGAATGCCACCTCCTCCAGCAGTCAACCCTTTCCAAATACTAAATTAAATCAGCAAAGTGCCTGCAACTGGAAATATATAATTGGGCTAAAAGAAAATATAATGAATAATTGTTGGTTGTCAAGTACATAAATTGCTCTAAAAGAAGTCAGATCTCTTTTAGCTCTGAGAGGTTATTTGTTCCATGATTTAAAATGGGATTAGCAGATTTTTCTATCTATAAAAGGATTATTCTTAACTCACATACCTAAATCAACAATGAATTTATTAAAGTTTTTTATTTTGGTTTGTACCTACATGATCATAGGTTCCTACTATGTGCTTCATCCTGTGTTTACTTCTTTTTGTGTTTTAGCTCATTCTCAGAGCAGTCATTGGTGGTAGAAACTATAATTGTCTTAATTTTTGAAAGGGGAAGTTGAGGCAAAAAGAAATTAAGTAGATTACTCAAGATCACAAGGCTACAAGATAGGATTTGATAGATCAGATCTGCAAAATTATTTTTGTAAAAAGAGATATGATTTTGTATTTTACTTATCTTTGACTTTTTTTTCTATTTAAGCGTAAATGCTCAACATATTTCCTGTGAAGCATAAGAATTCCTAATTGTGGAAGTATATCCACAAGCACCATTAACTATTAAGTGAGGAAAAGTATGAAAGAAACCTCTGGTTGAATCTACAATTTGAAGATCACCTCATCCACTCAAAGTTACAGGATGGATCTGCACCAAAGTACCACCATCACTTTTCTTGAGAAATGGTGTTTGGATAAGTCACCCTCTGGCTACAGGAGACACTGTAATGTCAGGAAAAAACTGAAGTTAATTCGAATCGTAGGTCTCTTCATGGGCTTGGTGGCCATTAGCACTGTCCCATTTTCAATCAGTGCCTTTTCTGAGACAGACACACAGAGCACAGGAGAGGTCAATGGTGCAAGTGGCCCTGGGGTAGCACAAGGTTACCATCAAAGAACTCTCTTAGATTTAAATGACAAGATTGAGGATTATACTTCACAGACACCTTCTTCTCAGGAAGGCAAGACTGAGAATAATAGTACTGCACATGAGCAAGGAGACTACCCGAGAGACATCTTTTCCTTGGAGGAAAGAAGAAAAGGCGCCATCATTCTCCATGTCATTGGAATGATCTACATGTTCATAGCCTTAGCCATTGTCTGCGATGAGTTCTTTGTTCCTTCTTTGACTGTCATCACTGAAAAACTGGGCATCTCAGATGATGTGGCTGGAGCCACCTTTATGGCTGCAGGGGGCTCTGCCCCAGAACTTTTTACATCTCTCATAGGGGTATTTATTGCTCACAGCAATGTTGGCATAGGCACAATCGTGGGCTCAGCCGTGTTCAATATCCTCTTTGTTATTGGCATGTGTGCTCTGTTTTCTAGAGAAATCTTAAACCTGACATGGTGGCCACTCTTTCGGGATGTTTCCTTCTACATTGTTGACTTGATCATGCTGATCATATTCTTCCTGGATAATGTTATCATGTGGTGGGAAAGCTCACTTCTCTTAACAGCTTATTTTTGCTATGTGGTTTTCATGAAATTCAACGTCCAAGTAGAAAGATGGGTGAAGCAAATGCTAAATCGCAATAAGGTCGTCAAGGTGACAGCCCCAGAAGCCCAAGCAAAGGTTGGTAGTGGTGGTTATTTCTTTAATGTTCTTTTTGGCCATAGTTGTGAATTATGTTTATATTATCTACAATATTTTAAATATGATGATACTTGGGGCTATAATGCAGCTTTCTGCAATTCTATTATAGCCAAACTAACATGTCAGTAAGAAAAATAATTTGGGGATGTCCTTGTCAGTAAGAAAAAAGTGGGGGATATAAAAATTGCTCTAGCTTCTGAGTAAAACATTTGTAAATATAGGTTACATAAGCATCTCAGGCCATGTTCAGCAGTTATTTGTCTTATTTTTTGAAAATTAGCACAATGATTTTGGAAGCATTTAGTTTTCATGTGATAGTGTGTGTACATGTGTGCCAAATAAGTTGTAAAGCTTTATATTTTTACATAAAATTATCTAAGACCAACCAATAATTTTAAAGATGTTTAGAGCAGACAGTTTGTGTTCCAGAACTTTACATTTAAATTAGTAGCCTCAGCCATAGCATAAATTATTAGAGTAGGTTATATTCATTCTTCTAGAGCCATAAAATAATGTTTAGGATTATTTGACCAGGTACTGAGCAGGGTTCTTTAAAGGGAGTCACTAGCAAGGCCTGCTGCCTGTCTTTTTGGTTAGCTATTTAGTTAGCTACGTATTCATTTTTCACATGATGTAGACATTACCCCTAATATTTTACAATAGAATTTGAAGGAGTTATAATGATAGTGTTCATACTACCACTTAGTAAGTCAACTAGTAGTGAGCTTAGAAAAATAGATTTGCAAAAACACAAACTATTTTCTATGTAATAGATAAGCAGTAATGATAAAATATGTTAGTGACAAATATGGTAATGTAGTTTTGATTTATATCATAACATTATAATGTTGTCTCTGAATGTGATTTTTAAACAGAAAATGAAAATACATATGTAGATTTTTCATACTGGCATCAGGAGATATATGCAAAAAGCAGATGTTGAGTGGATGGTGAGATATATTACCCAGAAAGTAAAGGAAAACAATGATATTAAGTTAGCATAATTCTTGTATGCTCAGGTTTGATGACTACTCAGCATTTTTGTAGCAGCTATGAAATAAAGGGGAATGAAACACTTGTAAACAGCTCTGCTTATTACATGCAAAAAAGAAGTATTTTAAACTGCATCTCCCCCTAACATTTCACTCAGGTTATGGTTGTTTGTTAGAGACTCTGTTTTTTTTTTAAAATAAATAAACATTGAGTAAAAAAGAAGAAAAACTCTGCAAACAAGTATTCTCGTGTAAAAATAACTGAGTCTGTCTGTATCTTTGAGGGTAGATAAGACAGATCATCATTGGAGCCCCTCATCCTGCTTCAATATTCTTGCCAAAAGCATGGTCCCTGACTGCTGATTTGAGTAGTTTACATTAATAGTCTGTGTTTACTCCAATTTGGGTAATGAACAAGGCATAATTTTAGAAGCAAGGAAATGATTTGGAATCATTAATATAATAGCACATGGGGTGTAAAAAAAAGTCATTTTGAGAACTCAGTGCTTTTCTTGTTTTGTTACACCTAGATGATGGAACTTCATTAACTTAGACATTGACTAGGAAAATGGTATGTTGGCAGCATTTATGGAAAAACATTGCATAACAATCCAATAGTGTGTTTAGTATTACAAGAGAACTTGTTTTCAGATTAGACCTAAAGGAAGCTGATGTCATACATTTTTTAAATATAAGTTACAGATAGTATTTAGTCAATTGTGAGCCATTCATTAAAGTTCTAGGAGGATTTTTGTTCAATGTTTTATATGACTGTTGTGTCATTTTACTTAGACTAGCATTCTTAAATAGTTAAGATATGAGTATATAGAATATACAGTTTTGTACTATCATTAATATTGCACATTTTTATTAGGTAACTATTTACTAAATTAAAAAAGTTATAGTCATGATTATTTTTTCTGTTTATGATATTCTGCCAATATGTGTCAGTTGTACTATTTTCTTTATAGTTCTAAATAGCCATATTTTACTTCCTTTAATAATTATTTATTTTGGTATTTAATAATTAAACTGAACTATAAATAACTATAGAAATGCAATTTCTTTAGCATTGTTGTATTAGATGGAATGGTGAATAGTAATGTGTGATTTTATTGAGAGAAGTTTACCTTGCCAATATCACTTTTGAATTACGCTAGAAAAAAAATTTATCAACAACTTGTCTGTATCATATGCCCCATTTCAGAGTTGGATGGAGCTTTGGACCCCAAACCCTGAAATAAATTCTTGAAACAGTGAGGAGTTCTTGAGTGTGGCCATCTAGTTACCTGATCTACCAAGTTGATTTCCTTAAAATTATTTTCTGACTGTCTATCCTAGCTTTTCCACAAAATGGGGCTTCCTACCCCAGATTCTAAGCCAAAACCAGCTTTCTCTGGAGTCTTCACAGAAAGGAAACGGCTGTACAAGAATTTATGAAACAAAGTACAAAGCATGTTTTTATGCATATGTTACCTAATTGTTACTTAATTGCTTGTTTTTGTAATTAGGGGTCAGGTAGTTTACTTTAGTAACATGGAAGATATTTTAAAATTCTGATGAAAGTAATCAAATGGTTTTGTTGAAAAGGGTTTTGTTATAAAGCGGCCAACCCTGTTGGACTTTAAGTAGTGTGATATCTCTCAAACTTGCTTCATAGACAAATTGAAAATCTTAGCCTATTTTCATTATTTATAGTGTATGTCTTCGGGCAACTAGGAGGCATGGGAAAGTGTGAACTGATATTGTTTTCATAAAGTAATAGCTTGCCACTTCATTCGATTATTTCAACCTGACTGTGATTTTTATTCTTTTATTATTTGTATTAATTTGCTTAAATTTTTTCTTTTTGAGTCACACCCGGGTATGCTCAGGGGTTATTCCTGGCTCTGTACTCAGAAATTACTCCTGGTGGTGCTCAGGGTATCATATGGGATGCTGAGGATTGAACCTGGGTCAACTGTATGGGAGGCAGACTCTCTACCCGCTGTATTATTGCATCAGCCCCTTATTATTATTTTTCTTGTGAGAGTATTAACCTTTAAAAAAGAAGGTTATATGATTTTATTGCATTGGTAATCATGCTCTTAACACAGGGAAAAAAAAGATTTTCGCTCCAGATTTTAAGCCTTGTGATTTCAAATAATTAGCATAAATTCCATGAGCCTTCAGTTTCTAATCTAGACAATGAAAATAATAGATCATAAAGCTGGGTGTATAGTGAAATCAGTGTTAAACAGCTAACATAGTCCTTGGCAAATGTGGCTTTTCCTGTGTTAGTTTCCTTCTTCATTTTATCTTCCATTCTTAAATGAAATGTGAATCAAAATAAGTTGTTTCAAATTCAGGAATTTCAAAGAGTCCTTGAAGATTGGAATTGACTCATGAATCATTGTTAAGTAGGCCATTGTCCTTCTTAAAAGCATATTTCATTCATCTTAATATAATATTTATAAGCCCTAGTTTACATACAGTAAATATATGCAAGCCAGATATTATCATAAAATATAAGAAAACTTTCAAATCCTTTTGTTGTTTTTGAGTTTTATTGTGTAAAATTTTGTCTGAAATAAGTAGGATATTAACAGGGGGGTTAGAAAAATCTAGTCTAAAAAGGGTTTTTAGAAATGATTTAGACAAATTTCTAAAAAAAAAAACCTCTCCATAAGAATTCTCCTTAAGAATAAATTAGAATCCTGCAGGATATGAAGCAGTGAGATTTCAGGACATCAGGTGCATTTTGCTGTGCTCTTGGCACTGCTGCTTTCTCTTGATCTGTTATGGTGGTAGGCTGTCATTGGCCTAGAAAGCAGCTGTCCGTGGTATTTAACTTCCTCTTAGACTTGGCACTATAATCTGACAGCAAGTCAGCCTAGTCCTAATGAAGGGAACGGTGTAAATAAAGATGCTTATTGCCTGATAGTTAGTTGAAGCACAGGTTACTTTAGTAACCTGGGATTGCCTTGCTTTATTTAATTTGTGTGTTTATGAAAAAATAGTTTTGGCAACTTAGATTACTCATGGGAAGATAGGAATTGACACTATAAATATTCATCATAAGTGAAGTCTTTCTTAAACTGTGATACACATAAATAATTTTATAAATTCATATGTGTAGACGCACACTTATATAAGGCATAGAATTTATTACAAAACTGGTCTTTTGTTCCCCTTCTAATCATAGTAAATTAATTAGATGAACATACACATTTTTAGGAAAGTGAACAATGAAAAAGGAATACTACTGGGAACTACTTGATCAACTTAGTAACTGTCTCAAAACGAAGAAAATTTGGACATTAAAATTCTTAACTAATCAGATGCCTATAAATGTAGTATGCTTTTTTTTTATCTAGGGACACAGCTTCATGCTATTTTCCTTATTTTTGTTTCTGTTTACCTCTTTTATGAGCAAACCCATCAGTTTCTACGTGTGATTCAAATAATAAAGGAGACTATTTGAGAGATTCAGAAAGCCCATTGGATTTTAATAACAGAGTTCGATTGCTCTCAGCCATTACCTTTGTTAATCTTGTTTTTCTAGTAAGACAGAACATGAACTTCCTGACTCCTGGAAATAGGAGCCAGAAGTTTCCACCACAATCCTCCTTCCTTTCTTCTTTTCTGACTCTCTTCTTTTCTTACATTTTATCCTTTTTAAAATTTTTCTAAATATAGAATTGTGTCATTTGTCTTTAAGCAGTGATTTTTTTAGACTGTTCTCTGACTTTTGTAGAGTCAAGTGTGGATGTGATAGGTTTATTTTTCCCATAGTTTTATTTTTAACCTGTTGTTTTAGATATATCTCTAGTAAACAAACTATAGTTGCATTTTGTTTCACTCATGTTGACAATCATCATCCTCTAACTGGAAAGTTTCCTTTATTTAAATTAATTATGGCAGTTTGCATTTGGGTTCTCTTTCAGGCTCCTTTATACCTTCTATTTATTCTCATCTTTTTATTTTTAATTTTAAAATAATTTTAAT